CTCCTCCCTGAGCACGCTGCCCCCGCTCTAATTCTCCTTCCCTCCCAGGCTTGCGGCACCAAACTGCTGATTGGCGCTGCAAGCCTGGGAGAAGTGGAGCAGCGACCGCGCGCTTGGGGAGGGGATGTAGGAAAGCTGTAAAAAAAAATTGGGGGTACCGCTTTCGGCGCCCCCAAATCTTGGCGCCCTAGGCAACCGCCTAGTTTCCCTAAATGGTAGCACTGCCCTGCCTGCTAACAGGTAGTGAAAACCACGAACGACCTTGTCTTCACTAGGATGCACTTAGTAATACTTGGTAAGAATACCTGGGAGTATTCATACCAAGAATACTTGGTAGAATACCTGGGAGTATTCATGCCTAAGTGGACTCTCAGGATGCCTCTTTACCAAAAGGTTTTGGTAAAGAGGCATCCTGAGAGTCCACTTAGGCATGAATACTCCCAGGTAGTAAAAGAATCTAGACTGCAGAAATAAATGTGTTTGAACATCACTTAAGAACGGCCATACTGGGTCAGACCAAAGGTCCATCCAGCCCAGTATCCTGTCTACCAACAGTGGCCAGTGCCAGGTGCCCCAGATGGCGTGAACCTAACAGGTAATGATCAAGTGATCTCTCTCCTGCCATCCATCTTCACCCTCTGACAAACAGAGGTTAGGGACACCATTCCTTACCCATCCTGGCTAATAGCCATTAATGGACTTAGCCTCCATGAATTTATCTAGTTCTCTTTTAAACCCTTTTATAGTCCTAGCCTTCACAACCTCCTCAGGCAAGGAGTTCCACAGGTTGACTGTGTGCTGTGTGAAGAAGAACTTCCTTTTATTTGTTTTAAACCTGCTGCCCATTAATTTCCTTGGTGGCCCCTAGTTCTTATATTATGGGAACAAGTAAATAACTTTTCCTTATTAACTTTCTCCACACCACTCATGATTTTATATACCGCTATCACAGGGGTGGGCAAACTATGGCCCGCGGGCTGGATCCTGCCCCTCAGGGCTTTGGATCTGGCCTGCGGGATTGCCCCTCATGGTGCCATGGGCCCTGCACCGCTCTCAGAAGTGGCCGGCACCATTTCCCTGCGGCCCCCAGACGGAGGAGGCAGAGCGCTCCGTGCGTTGCCCTTGCCTCCAGGCATCGCCCCCCGCAGCTCCCATTGGCTGGGAATGGGGAACCACAGCCAATGGGAGCTTCGGGGGAGATACCTGGAGCCCTCCGCCACCCACCCCCAGGGGCCGCAGTGCTTCCTGGAGCAGCGCGGGCCGGGGACAGGGCAGGTATCCGCTGCTGCCACCCCGGAGCCACTTTAAGTAAGCGGCACTGGGCCGGAGCCCAAACCCCTCCTGCACCCTGTCCCCCTGCTCTGAGCCCCCTCCTGCACTCCACACCCCTCCTGCACTCCAACCCCCTTCCCTGAGCCCCATAATACACCCCTAACCCCTCCTCCACTCCAATCCCTTGCCCTGAGCCCCTTCCTGTACACTGCACCCCCTCCCACATCCCAACCCCCTGCCCCAGTCTTGCATACAATTTCCCCATCCAGATGTGGCCCTCGGCCCAAAAGGTTTGCCCACCACTGCGCTATCATATCCCCCTTAGTCGCCTCTTTTCCAAGCTGAAAAGTCTCTCCTCATATAGGACCCGTTCTAACCCCCTAATCGTTTTAGTTGCCCTTTTCTGAACTTTTTCTAATCCCAGTATATCTTTTTTGAGATGAGGAGACTGTACGCAGTATTCAAGATGTGGGCATACTATGGCTTCATATAAGGGCAATAAGATATTCTCCATCCCTTTTTGAATCATTCCTAACATTGTTTGCTTTTTTGACCGTTGCTGCACAATGCGTGGACCTCTTCAGAGAATCATCCATGATGACTCCAAGATCTCTTTCCTGATTAGTTGTAGCTAAATTAGCCCCCATCATATTGTATGTATAGTTGGGGTTATTTTTTCCAGTGTGCATTACTTTACATTTATCCACATTCAATTTCATTTGCCATTTTGTTGCCCAATCACTTAGTTTTGTGAGATCTTTTTGAAGTTCTCCAGAGTCTGCTTTGGTCTTAACTATCTTGAGCAGTTTAGTAACATCTACAAACTTTGCCACCTCACTGTTTACCCCTTTCTCCAGATCATTTATGAATAAGTTGAAGAGAATTGGTCCTAGGAATGATCCTTGGGTAACACCACTAGTTACCCCTCTCCATTCTGAAAATTTACCATTTATTCCTACTCTTTGTTCCCTGTCTTTTAACCAGTTCTCAATCCATGAAAGGGTCTTCCCTCTTATCTCATGGCAGCTTAATTTACCTAAGAGCCTTTGGTAAGGATCCTTGTCAAAGGCTTTCTGGAAATCTAAGTACACTATGTCCACTGGCTCCCCCTTGTCCACATGTTTGTTGACCCCTTCAAAGAACTCTAATAGTAAGACATGATTTCCCTTTACAGAAACCATGTTGACTTTTGCCCAACAAGTTATGTTCTTCTGTGTGTCTGAAAATGTTATTCTTTACTATTGTTTCAACTAATTTGCCCGGTACTGATGTTAAACTTACCGATCTGTAATTGCAGGGATCACCTCTAGAGCCCTTTTTAAATATTGGCGTTATATTAGCCACCTTCCAGTCTTTGGGTACAGAAGCTGATTTAAAGGGCAGGTTACAAACCATAGTTAATAGTTCCGCAATTTCACATTTGAGTTCTTTCAGAACTCTTGGGTGAAAGCCATCTGGTCCCGGTGACTTGTTACTGTTAACAAGTGCAGACAGACAGTGATCTTTAAAAAAATGTATACGCTGGTTGTGATTAACTCATTACTATCTTTGTCTGCACTAGATGCTAAATGACTAACCGCTTATAAAACACAATCTATTTGATTAGTCTAGTCATGCCTGTTGACTCTGGAAAAGGTGAGTGTGCCGCACAGTGCTCAATGAGTGGCTATGCAGGGAAGTTGCCCAAACGCTGTGACATCAAGGACTGATTCAGTGGCATCTAATAACAGAGTCACATTTAAAAAAAAAAAAAGACAAAAGACTCACAGCCATAAGGGTTTCTCTTCAGCCTACAAGTGCTCAAAGATGGTGCAGCCCATAGCCACATTTTAGGACTCTGCAGTCAGCAGGTTGAGCATTCATGCTCTGGCAGCAGCCCTGACTCAACAGATACAGACATACATGCACACAGGCAATGCAAGGCCTTTGGAAGTGGGTAGTACCATGGGAGAATTCAAGAGGTCTCTTCTCTCCCTGCAATGAAGGCAAAACTCCTGTGGTTTTTGCAAATGCACTTAGATAAATGTAATAGGGACATTTTTTATAAATCTAAATGACTACCCCTCATCTAGCTAGTCATCAAGAGCCAATAAGCAGAAAAAGCAGTTTTAAAAACTATCCAACAGACCTTGTTTTAGTTAATTCTTTATTTTGACATCAAATAGGTTGAGAAAATCTTGGACAGGTCAAGTATGCTGCTGGATTTTTTTAAAGTCTTCTGTAACATTCGTTTCAAGGTGCGAAAGAGGTTTACATGTGTGTTTCATGTAACATAGCAAAACTTTAACAAAACAAGACGACGTCAAAATCAGTATACGCATCAGCAGAATAATCCAACAAATACATGATGGCACTTGAGCCTTGTACTAAAGGGCTCTACAATGAAAAAATAGGTAGTGCACAAAAGAAGCTTCTTTTTTATATATATACACACACACAATAAGGGAGCATAAAGTGGCTTTTTAATGCAAGTCTTTGTGACTAGCAACTTCTTTCTTTTCATTCTCAGATGGTCACTATCTAATGAAAACAGATTACTTATTGGAGATGCGCAAGGATACAGAGCACTCATTGAAGAGGGGATTGCAATATGGCAGCATATATTTCTTTAAAAGTTTAGGCACATTTGAATGCAAAAAAATGCGTTTTAAAAAAAAAAATCTTACAGACAGTGCAAAATTTGAAGTGCCCTCACAAAGGCAACAATCACTTAGAAAACAACCTTTAGGACATAAAAAAATATCTACATTTGAATTAAAACATAAAAAAGAGAATGCAAGTAGAAAGAAAAGGTTTTTAATGAAATATGAATTTTTGGTACCCAAAATTTAAATCACTGAAGGCAATCTGAAATTGTGGTATATTTTTGGGTACTAGCTACGCATGCTATGCATTAAGACCTGGTCTTAACTTCGTAAATATAAAAATATTCAGTTTGTAAAGATGTAATATATTTGTAAATAGCTTTCAAAATAGCTGACATAATGTAGAGTAATTGATCACACTAATTCTGCTGTCACTATCTTAGTGTTTGCATCCACACAATCCTGCTAGTTTTAAATTGGGTTGCATCCTAGTTTTAAAAGCAGGATATATATATATATATATATATACACACACACACACACGAACGAGGTATTTATCTTGTTCCCATTTAAGTCTATGGTCAGCTTGTATTTACAGCTCCATAAGTCTTTGCTGTATCATTCCTCATTCTAAGGCCTCTGGGTTCT